AGCCTGGTGGGGGGAGCTGGGTCATTGGAGTCACGCTCTTGAAGGATTACTGGGACCCTCAGCCCCTTCCTTTTCCTCTTGGCCTGCTGGCTGCCAAAGTGAGCAGATCTTTGCTGTATGCTTTCACCTCAATGTGTGGCCTCTCCATAGGCCCAAAGCAACAGGACTAAGTGGCCATGGACTGTCAAAAGTCAAAAACACACCGTCTCCCTTTTAAGTTGTCTTATCCTGAGCTTTTTTGTTACAGTGATGGAAAATTGAGTAAAGTGAGCAGCAGAGATAGACAGTGGCCGCACTGTGAGTTCACCATCTGCAAAGGAGAAAAACAAAAGTGATCACTGAGAGCAAAGAATTCGCTCAGATGAACTTTGAAATTACTTGGCAGTTACCTGGCTTTGTGCTACACTTAGAAGATGCTACCATCACATAAAGGAAAACCTCACACTCTAAAGACTCCACTCTGGAGGGACAGTGACCATGAACATTGTACTTTTGCAAGGTGGTTCAATACATAGGGCTGACAATGGGTTGTGAAATTTTTCCCAATGTCCCATTCCTGGAAGGGGAAGAAGGCCAGTTTCTAGGCAAAGGCCAGACTGTCTATCTCATCCAGTTCTTCACACTATTGGCTCACTCACTCAGCAGGTAGTCGGTGAGCATTTGCCAGGTGACAGGCCCCGTGAAACTGGTCATACAAACATGGACAATGTGGTTGAAGCGAGCCCTTGCCCTGTAAGGATTCCATTTTAGCCAGACAAATCGGATGACCACGTCATGGGACCGTGACCATTCGTACACTGCAGAACTACAGCACAGCGTCTCCTGACATCTTCTCGACTGAGTGTGGCCATGCTACTTACACAGAGAAGCTTACAGATGACCAGTAAACTCTAGGTCCTCACCAGCAGTGCAGAAGCTCAAGCTCCATCCAGACACGCTACACCACAATTTGTACTGAGGTCCTGGGAAATCCACAGGCCCACTGAGTTTGAGAAGCGCTGGTGGAAAGACCGAGTAGGAACCTAGAGTTTAGGCACCGCAGGAAGGCCATTCCACAGTGAGAGCCTGCCAGCTCCAAGTGTGGTCCAGGGTGTGAAGACACTTAGTGTTCTGGGATAGTGAAGGAAGGCCAGTATTCTGGCTGATGAGGATAGTGGGTGTGTAGTCTGTATTAAGTAGGTCCTCAGATTCTTGGTTTGGGGCTAGGTCTCTGCCTTGGTGACCCCTACCCCAGCTTCCTCCTATGCCAAGGAGTACAGACTTCCTCCTTGCGCCCTTAGGCTGCTGAGACCCACACCTGTCGGTGTTCCTGAAGCCTGTTTGCAGCTCTGAGGTCCCATTGCTGTAAGACTGCTGGGCAGAGCAGCCAGTGAGGCAAAAGCCTCTGATCTCCCTGAGCAAGGGATAAAATCAGGCGGTCCGCTGCTCCAACTGTGAATATTGGGAAGATGCGGTGGAGAGAGGGTGGGTGGGGGACAAAGAGGGGCTGATGTGGATGGTTATAAAGGATGGCACTCCGGGATCCCAAGTGTCCCTGGGCAACATATTTTGGCTCATCCTCACTCTCTGCTCTGGGCTGAGCACTCAGTCTTATTCGGCACTATTTGTATGGTCCTGTTGCCAAACACATGGGTCACTCAGGGTTAGCTGGGGGGAAAGCTACCAAACCTTTGTGTTTTCTTTCTCTTAATTCTGAAAGCCAAAGGAGAAAGGGAAAAGTTGAAGGGGGAAAAAAGGAAACAAAAGTAAAACAATCACAGAAGAAATTAAACTGAATATCCAAGCACCCCTCCCAAAACACAGGCTTTGAATTTCATGCAGACTTGTGTACAAGGCCACTATTTACTCCTATGGATCGGAATGAAGTATCTGGTTCCCCAAGCTCTTACCTGTGAGCAATGTTCCGCCTTGGATAGAACTCAGTAATTGTAAACCGGGCTTGGATGTGGAGCAGGTGACCCAGAGAGCTCCTGTTTGCTCTCCGTTTTCACATTCTATTATGTGGCTCCCAGCACCGAATCAGCCAATCGGCTTGACTTATAACCCGAAACCACTCCATGTCCCGTGTATCTATTACTGACATTTATGTAACGCAGGTCCTCAAAGGTGTTTGCAATTGTCGCCACATACCCTGTTGCTGTCCCTAATAGTTGTGAAAGGCTTTTGAATTCTGGCTTTAAATTCTCAACTGAAATTGAGATGCTTTTCATTAAGTTCCAGGTTTTGGTGCATTGTGGATCTCAGATTAGGGATGTTCAGCCTGGTAATGTCTATGTGCATATCTGAAAATATGAAAGACTCCAAAATCAGAACCACCTTTGGTTCCAAGCATTGCACACGTGCCAGTAACCACAGACCCTGTGAGCTGATGTGTGCAGCAGCCATGTAACGCCCAGCAGCCAGCATTTCATGGCTCCTCTCCACCTCCCGACTTATATTTTTTCGGCTCCCCTTTCTGTGATGTTCTCTGAGCCTTAGGTGAGGGTAGATGTAGATGATGCATCCACAGCTAAACACAGTCAGTTCTACTCCACGCTTAGGCCAGTTATGAGTTTGCATTAACCATTACCCATTGCAGAAAGAAACTTTCCTAACTAAAGTTGAGAGCAACACGGATCTATAGGTGTGGGCATATTATTTAGAAAGCAGTTTGCCAACATGACCCTTAAGTGATGCAATTATCACTTTTCCTAGGGCCTGTGATCTCCCCGGTAATGGGCTTTTGACCAGTCGTGAAATCCCTACAATAGAGCAGGCCTCGCATGCTCCCACACCCACGAGACCACTGTTGCACTAGGCACATCTTGCCAGGCAAGTCGGTTTTGGAGCATTCAGAGTTGGAGCTGGTTCACTTGTGCAGCCATATAGGAGGCCCCTGTACTCACATGCCGGCGGCTTAATCATTCCCCCTTGGGATGAACATCTACGTTATCACTTCTCACCTTAGCAAACAGTGCAACCACAGTTGCTTGGGTCATCTCTCAGGGAGCACACAGAGGCATTTTTTTTCTAGAACTGGGAAACATGCTCCCTGGAGGGAGATGCTGGGCCATAATTTGTAAATAGTTTTAGTTTTAGCAAGTCCTGCTAGCTTGCCTTCCAAAGGGCTTCTTTCAATGGAAACATTAGTGTCAGTCTCTAAAAGTTCATGCTGTCCCTTAGAAGCAAACACATTCGTTCTTGTCAAATTCATCTGATTTTTAAAGGTTAAAAATACATGTTCCAAATGTTTCTGTGGAATGCATATATGCCAAAACATAGTCCTCTCATTAATCAGTGGGAAAATTTGAAATATGAAAAAGTTGATCCAAAGACCATCTGGGAGTGGCGAATATCTCCAACCTCCTGGAGACTAAGGGAGATCAGTAGTTTGAGTCAGCCTGGGCTACAAAGTGAGACTTTATCTCAAAAAGAATTGGCATGAAGTTACTTGGTGTTTATTCTTTTTCTGAGGTGTGTGTGTGTGTGTGTATAGGAGACCAGCCTGGGATACTTGAATTACATATGTGAGCCACTACTCCAGACCCATAGTCTTTTCCTTTTTCTTTAAGTACTAAAATGAAGTTCTAGGACAGCCAGGACTACAGAGAGAAACCCTGACAATGTGTATGTGTGTGTGGGCCTACTCATTGCTCTGTGGGAGGTCTGCTCCCACTTTTTCCCCCAGGGTATTCTTGAGGAGGGAGGACTGAGAAGTCTTTAGATAGAAAGACAGAGGAGAGAGAAACAGAGAAACACAGGATAGCCTCGGGAGGGCCTGGATCCTCATCCACCAGCCCCTTTTGTCTCTTCAAAAGGGCCTTTTATAGGAATACCAAGGGGTGGAGCAAAAGACCTCCCCCAGCACAGCCAAGTGCAGACCCTTCCAATCACCTGGTAACCACACACATGGTCAAGCAATCCTCTAATGCAGCCTTGCTGGGTAAAGCAAGCTCAGATCTCACTAGGAACCCTTTGTGGGCCTCCACATGACAGAAATGGTTAATGTTCTGCAGGGCATAAAAGATTATAAGTTCTAACCAGTGACTTTCCGATGGTGACTGTTTTTGCTCTGCCATCTAGTTTCATTACATCCAGGTCTCTTTAAGGAAACACTATTAATATGAAAACACTTTCTTCAGCGCTCAGGAATGCCAGGCTCAAAGTGCAGGCCAGCCTCCCTAAGCTAGGCCACTTGGGCAGCAGGGAACTGAAGACCTGATTGTTCCCAGTAAACCCTCCCCTAAAGATGGGGTACCTTGAAGAATGGACCCCATGATGAGGGAGTAGACAGCTTCAGAAGGGACCCGGGTCCAGAGAGGAGTGGGGGCTAGCATCGCAGTGCCTCAGCAGGACTTTTTGGCTAACAGGAGGGAACTATTAAGAAGTTATTAGGAGGGCAGGCACTCCTTTGCCCAGCAGGTTTCTGCAGTGACAACTGCCACCTACACACACACACACCCCGGGGTGGGGGGAATGGAAGCCAGGGTCAAATGAAGTCCAGAGAAGGAAGACCAGTTGTCAGCTTCCAATGTCTCTGCTCCACATTGGGCTTCCGCGACTTTCTAGAAACGTGTCAAGGCTCAGTCTCTCTCCCCTGTTGTGGGCAAAAGAGTATGTCTGGAACCCACTTCAAATTCTTAACGCTAGACACTATTGGGAGCAGTCTAAGAAATGCACGGTGCATGCAATCTCGGTGGGCAGCCCTACCAACTGGATTTCCTAAGCTCCTCCCGAGTCACTATCTCCCGGAAGACCCTGTCCCCTACAATTCTGTCCCACATGCCCTTTTGGAGGACAACCCTTGGGGTGGTTCGTCGACCTCCTGGGAGCTCCTCCTCTAACAACTACACGGTCTCGCCTTGTGGTCGGTTTGTCCCGCTGCGTCCCGGGCCTCCGCCAGGCTAAGGCACGACCGGAATGCGCGGGAGGACCCGGGGCGGAGACGCCGGTAACCGATGGGACACGGGGCGGGCCTGCCTGAGTCCCGGCCCAGGCCAGGCCCAGGCCGGAGAGGTCGAGGGCAACGCGGGGACCAGCACCAGGCCCTCGGCCTCGATTCCCGCGCTCTATGGGACCGCGTCCCCGACCCATGCGGCGCCGCACGGGGACTCCAGACTCCAACCGATCCCATCCCTGCGCCAGGCGGGCAGAGCGCTCAACTCGGGGCTGGAGAATCCCGAGGATCGATAGTAGGAAAGAATAGAAAGTCTCCCTGCGCGCGGGGAGAGCGTAGGGCCAGCCTTGCTCAGCAGCAGGCAGACTGGGAAAGCAGAACTCCAGGACAGCCCTCGGCGGGGCCCGCGGCGGGTCAGCGGGAGGCGGGAGGGAGGTGCCCGCAGCCCGGACTCGACGTAGACGCCCGCGCCGCCCGCGATGGGAAGTGCCTTATAAAGCCGCGGCTTGCGCGGCGGGACAGACTCCTGGCGGCGCCGCCCAGAGCGCGGACCGCACGCAGCCGCCCCAGAGTGTGTACGGAGCCCGGGCATATCCGCGGGGTACCAGCCTCGCCCCACGCAGACTCTTAACTGCCGTGGCTGGGCTCGACCGCGTCCTAAAGAAGGACCCCTGATCGCCCCTGTCCGGAACCACTCTTGCCCAGGCGGACCCCGGGTTGGGGGCCGAGGGCGCCCCCGGCGGCAGGGGCATGCGCGGCCCGCGGCATGGCCTCGGCGGTGTTTGAGGGCACGTCGCTCGTGAACATGTTCGTGCGCGGCTGCTGGGTGAACGGGATCCGCAGGCTCATCGTCAGCCGGCGTGGCGACGAGGAGGAGTTCTTCGAGATCCGTACCGAGTGGTCGGACCGCAGCGTGCTCTACCTTCACCGCAGCTTCGCAGACCTGGGTCGCCTGTGCAAGCGCCTCCGTGACGCCTTCCCCGAGGACCGGCCCGAGCTGACGCGCGCGCCGCTGCGGCAAGGTGCGGGGCTGCAGGACTGGGGGCTGCGGGGCACCGGGGCTGCGGGGCGCCGGGGGCTGCGGGCTGTGGGAGGAACAGAGCGACGAGATCGCGTCCAAGTGCAATGAAGTCAGCGGGAAGAGTTACTTAAACTGAGACTGTTTCTTCCCTCTACGGTTCGGCACCTGACATCTAGACCCCGGGTTCCCTGAAGAAGGGCACCCAGCCGTGGTTCAGGAAGGACTGGGAGTCGGCATGGAGCCTGGGGCACACAATCCTGGAGGATAAATGAGATGGGTGGGGAAGGCGACGAGGTCGGCAGGACTCTCGCCTGACTGTCCCAAAGAATGAGTCGCTTCTGAAAGAAAGCAGAGCTTTGCAAGGCGACACCCGGGGGCTGACAGCTACTGGGTTCCAGCCGCCTACCCCGCTATAGAGGACCAGTGGCGGCTCGAGTTATAGGGTGTCGGAACTGGGGGATTGCATCCAGTACGCTCGCTGCCGGGGTCCTGCCTGGGAGAGGCCCCGTCCCTATTCTGCCCCAGGACAGCTGAGCCTGAGCGTGAAGTGCCACGCAGCAATCTTTTCCACCTCTCCTAGGAGGGGACCGCCCCGCCTGCATCTGTCGAGCCAACCCAGGGTCCCCACCCCTGAGCTGGGTCCGCATTCGGATTTGATTAGCCATGGCCGCCTCCTCCCTGCCCTTGTGACGGTCCTGGTTGGCTGTGATTCTTGTTTTCTCAAACAGCGGTGGCTTCCCCTTTCCTACGCCAGCAAAGGGACTGGAAGAGCAGAGGAAGCCGGAGAGAGGCCTTGGTTGAGACCGGGAAGAGTGAGGTGTGGGGCGTTTAGCTGGGCACAGGAGCTTCTGAGTAGACTTCCCATCAGTGTGTGGCCTCCCGGGGCTCTGAGACCCATGGATCCAAGCCCTTCTTTCTTCAGAGTCCTCCAAGCAACAATCTTGGGGCAGCTTGGGGCGAAGTTACTCAGGTTAGCCAGGACCTATCTCCTTGGCCGCCTGTCTGGCTAAGGTCTGAGATAACCTCCATTCCCCCTGGTGATAGGCCCCACCCGTGTGTGGATTATGTGGATAATTAGCTCCATTCTCATGACACATCCCCTGGCAGACACATCATTTGGACAGACTCCCAAAGCCAGTGAGTGTGGAGGCCCCGAGTGACAAGCCAGCTTTAGATCTCCATCCCAGCCCCTCCTGGTGGCTGAGCACTATTTCAAGATTGGACCTGTTTCTTTTTTTTTTCTTTTTTGTTTTAAATTTGCTATTTGTTGTATTTTTAATTTAACAAATGAATGTCTGACCAGGAAAGCATAACAAAGGGTCAGTGGTTTACTCCGTGGCTTCTTCTGGAACAAGGCAGGTCATAAACGAGTTGAACTTCCGGGCTGTTCCTCTGAGTCGGTCTCAGATCTCAGCTGGTACCTCAGGCAAACCGGAACCGGGTCTCCATCTGTGAGCATACCTATTACCTGTGGGCTTTTGTGAGGTGTGAAATGCCTGGTCGCATCTGGTGACAGTAACTCTGTAAATGCCACCTGTTTACTGTCAGCACCCGCCTCTTCTGGCCAGTGTTGCTGGTGCCTAGGGTGTGGGGAGGGGTGTGGCCTCAGTGTGGAGCCACAGGTGAAAAAGAGCTTCCCTGGGGCAGACGGGAGGAAATCATCATGCCCTGCTCACCTGGCCTCGTTTGCATCTATACAAACTCCTGGAATCATGTCCCAGGTGCTGCAGTGGATGAGAGCTGCTTCCGAGCATCTAAAGAGTGGGAGAATGCAGAAGCAGGGGTGAGAATGTGGAGATGGAGTGGCAGGGGCAGTGGGGGTGAGTCCCAGTGGTCATAGGGAAAGGAGTTTCCGACAGCCCGCTATGTAGTTATTAGAACCGTCCATCACCGGTGGCCCATTCCTATCTGATGGGAGCCTCCAGCTAGTACCCCCTAGACGTAATGAAGATGAATCCCGGGAGCAGTAGAGGGGTGACCATGAATCATGATCCGTTCTGATTCTCCTTTCTCTGCTTGGTTCTTCCCGAGTTTTGTTTCACAAAGCCAGGAAGGCTCCTTTCCTTTCTTTGATCCCTTCATGTCTAGGGAAGTCATACACCAAGTAAAATACCTCATCCTAACACAAATAATACACATAATACATCATAACACGAATAATAACACATTTCCGTGCAAATGTGTTATTTGCATCAAAAAAAAAATTGGTCTGGATTTTTCAAACTTCAAACAGGAAAGGTATGCAGCTGTGTGTAGTGCTGGCATTTTAATCCCAGTCGGTCAGATTCTCAAGTATTTATTAAATTTCTGGGCTGGGTTAGGTTTGTGTTCTCGGTTCATTAGAAAGAAGAGCTTCCCAGGGAAATGTGTCTCCGAACTGCTCCTGGCAGGCTGAGCTCCTGACACACAGCAGGCCAGCCAGGGTTCTACTTTGCAGTTCTTCTGAATCTTCATGCAGTTGAAGAGGTGCCAGGCCCTTAGCTTTGGTTCCTCCAGAATTGCCTGCCATGAGAGAGATTTTAGATGGGGAGGATCGGACTTTTTTCTCCCTCTGTGGTGTTATGCTTGGTGGATGTCCGTGGGCTTTTTATGTGGCCTGGTGACACACAGGCAGGGGAATGGTGCCACTGCATGAGGGGGAGGCACAGTGCCCACTCCCTTACCTTCCTGGCCTTCTGTTTTGATGAGCTAGTATAGTGCTGATCTCAGGACCATGGCTTCCTGTATCGTGTCTTCATGGAACTCTCCCCAGACACTACAGTAGGTGGGCAGCTTTGACCTAGGGCTGAAATAGCCACCTCTTGCTGTGTCACCCTCCAACCCCGGGGGGCGGGTAGCTGCTTCCTGTGGACATGCTGTTTGGCTTGTCAAGGTGCCCCCCTCTTACTTTTCTGGTCTCATCCCCGGGCTGTGTCATGTGTTCAAGTCCTCTGTGGTGTGAATTACCTACTGGTTCACATTCGTGAGCGGGACTTCTCACTTTGTTTGTGTCCCACACATAAGGCCTGCGTTTTAAAGCAGACACATGCAGATTTTTCCTGGTGACCATTTGAGGTTCTTGGAGTATTTTGATCCTCTTTTTAGTAGCACCCATTGCAGATCTGTGACGTCAGAGCCCGCCTGGTTACCTCTGCAACTACAGATTCTATTTCAAAGTGGCCAGGTGAGCTTGAATCCTTGGTAACTACATTTTTGGGTTTACATTTATTTTTGTGGTCACATACTGGCTGCCAGGCACCGTGCAGGGGACAATGACGTTGAGTGAGCAACTAAAGCCTTGTGACCTATCCTTTTGATTCGTATATTTTGGTTAGGAGACATGCATTAATAAATCATTGCTTGATCACCAAGCAATCAAGAGATCACTGTGGCTGCAGTGGAGAGTGTGGTGAAGGAACTGGAGAGAGGCAGATGGTGGTCAGCCATGGGCTCCATCATCACTGAGGGCTCTGAGCCAGGGAATTGATTTGATCTGAGTTGAGCTCAAGCTGATGCGCTGAGAAAGATGGGCTAGAACAAGGGAGAACATGGAGGCAGGGCTGCTGGGACCAGGTGTAATGAAGCAGGTGTGAGAAGGGGATGGACACTGATTGGCCTGGAAGAGAGCCATGGATGCATTGAGAGTCTAGAGGTTGGTGTGTGGCACACAGCACAAGCCCAGAATTCTGGCACAGGTGCCCTGTGCCGCAGTGAGGCCACCTCAGGCGATTATGGAGTGGGAGGTGCTGGCTGAGGGTGCCAGCCTGGAACCTGGCATTTAGCAGCAGAGTTTGTCATGGGAACCTGTGCACGGTGTTCCTGTGCTTGCTATATTCAATTTTATCACCAATGATGAGTCTCTTCAGTGCTCAGGACATGGGCTCTTCCTAGACTTGAGAGCCACAGCTGGGATGGTACCAGGAAAGGCTGGACACTGATACAGCACCTGACTCCCACATCCCAGACATTTGCTGCATTCCCCAGGTCTGCCCCAGTTCCCCATCACGTTGTCTTCACCTGGATGTCAGGGAGAAGTTTGATGTTGCCACCAAACAAGGAGAATGGTGCCTAATGGACGGACCAACTGCCACTCAGAGGCACCAACCGACTTGACTTTTATCGTGAGCGTGCTACGCATGGCTCTGGACAGCAAAGCAGGACATGGGGCTGCCACCTCTGCCTGGCCTTTGATGTTAGGGGTGGTGGGATGCTGCCCTTGACCTTTGCTGCAGCCCCACCCCCCTAGGGAGCTTCCCCGGGGTCATCCTGCCATCCTACCTGGGCACTTTTATTTCTCAGGGGATTTGGGCATCTCTGACTCACTCACCGATTTTTGACTCTTCTGTATATAGGACCCCTGACCCACCCTGTCCTGGGGTGCCTACCCCTCCTCTCTTCCTTGTTTTGTATTTGTTCCCAGATCCACGTCCTGCTGCCCACACCAGGCTCCACTCTGACATCCTGGACTTCTTGTTTTTCTTTTCTCTTTTTTTCCTTCATATCTCTCTCTCTCTCTCTCTCTCTCTCTCTCTCTCTCTCTCTCTCTCTCTCAGAGAATGTTCTCTGTGTAGCCTTAGCTGCCCTGGAACTCACTATGTACATCAGGCTGGCCTTGAACTCACAGAGATCTACCTGCCTCTTCCTCCCAGAGTGCTGGAATTAAAGGCCTGTGCCACTACCTGGTGACTCTTCTTTTCCCATAAATGACTTCTTGGCTGTCCTTGGTTCCTTCCTGATTTCATGCTGTAGATCTTATACTATGCCTTGGATAACCATGACTCCTGGTTGCCTTGCCCAACAGTAGGTGGAACTAGTTAGAGCTTACACAGCCGGTCCAGCACCTTGCACGTACATCACAGCTTCTCCCTGTGAAATGCTGAAGGAGATACTTGCCTCTTCTTCTCCACTGGGCCTCGCTGTGAGCCCGCAGGTACCCTCAATGCTCCTGATGTTTCTCTGCTGTCTGTTTTGGCAGACACTTTCCAGAAGTGACAGGAAATCCATTCATGCACTGTGCACAGT